TACTCCTGCATCCCCTCGGGCTTGTCCTGCGACCTCGTCCCCTCCTCCCCCTCCTCCCCCTCCTCCTCCTCCCCCTCTTCCTCCTCCTCCTCCTCCTCCTCCTCCTCCTCCTCCTCTTCCTCGTCCTCCTCCTCGTCGTCGTCGTCCTCCTCCTCCTCCTCCTCCTCGCCCTCGTCGTCCTCCTCCTTCTCCTCCTGTCTGCTCTTTCCTCTTCCTCCTGCCTCCTCCTCCACCTCCCACCCCTCTTCTTTTTTTTCTTCTTAGTATTCTTCTTCGTCTTCTTATTCCACCTCCTCCTCCTACTCCTCCTCCTCTTCCTCCTCCTCAGCATCATAATCACCATCATCGCAATCATAACCATCCTCATCCTCATCCTCATCCTCATCCTCATCCTCATCATCATCTTCATCATCATCATCATCATGATCATGATCATGATCATTATCATCATCAGCATCATCATCATCATTACCATCATCACCATCATCGGCATCATAATCATCATCACGATCATCACCATCATCGCCAACACCATCATCGCCATCATCAGCATCATCATCCACCATCATCATCATCACCATCATCATCGGCATAATGATTCACATCATTAACATCATCACCATCACCATCACCATCACCATCATCACCATCATCATCATGGTAAGCATCCTCATCATTACCATACTCAACGCCATCATAATTACCAGCAACATCACCATCATCATCTTCATCACCATCAATATCATTACAATCATCAACACGAATTCATCATCTGTGTCGTCATCATCGCAGATGTCGATGTAATCATTACCACGCTCGTCATCATCATCACCACCACCATCATCGTCAGCATCGTCGTAGCTATCGCCATCATCATACTCAGCATCATCATCATGAACGCATCATCAGCATAATCATCATGCGCACTATCATCATCATCATCATCATCATCATCATCATCATCATCATCATCATCATCATCATTGTCATCATCCTCGTCATCGTCATCGGCATCGTCATCATCGTCATCATCGTCATCATCATCAGTATCATCGCTAGCCTGATCAGGATGACCATCATCATCATACTCACGATCAACATTACCATTATTCTCATGAACAGCATCATCACCACCACCATCATTATCAGTATCATCACCATCGTCATCATAGTCATCATAGTCATCATCGACATCATCATCATCATCATCATCATCATCATCATCATCATCATCATCATCATCATCATCAGCATCAGCATGAGCATCATCATCATTATCACCATCACCATCATCATCATGTCGTCATCGTCGCCCTCGTCGTCCTCGTTCTCGTCTTCGTCCTCATTCTCGTCCTCGTCGTGGTCGTCTCGTCTTCGTCCTCATTCTCGTTTTCGTCCTCATTCTCGTCCTCGTCCTCGTCCTCGTCTTCGTCCTCGTCGTGGTCGTCGTCGTCGTCATGCCCTTTTCGGCCTCGCTCCGCCCGTGGGGCGCCCTCTCCGCCCCAGCCTCGGGGTGCCTTCCAGCAGCTGCGCCTCGCCGATAGCGTCAGGTCGGGCCTGTCCCCCTACAGGCGGATTCTGGAGGACAATCTAAAAATACTCGAGAAATACTCCAGACATGTTCAAACAGACTTCACCCAAGTCGTCCCCGGACTGCTGCTGGACCACTTCTGTAGATCTCCCCCCCTGCCGAGGCACAGGCCCGACGCAACGATCAGCGCTGCGGGGGGGCCCGTGGATCGCCCCGAGAGCACGGCCGCCGGAGGCCCGAGCGCCGTGGGCCCGAAGACCACCCCGGGGGGACCAGCTCCGGGGGGGGGCACGTCGGCCTGGCACCGGCGAGGCAGCATCGGCGGCAGAGGGGCAGAGACGGTGGATGGGCAGCAGGTGCGAGCCCCTGCACGCTCGAGGGGGATTGGAAATCAGCCCCGCGCCCCCGACATCAGTGTTGATCTCAGTGAAGGCGGTGCTTCGGGGTCCGAAGCTTTCTGTCCACTCACGCTCCCCCCGTCGCCACGCCATCAATATTGACTTCGGAGGGTCTGGGCGGCATCTTGGGCCACAGGGTTCGAATATAATGTCCACGTACGGGAGCGAGGGGCGCGACATTCTCTTGCGCCCTGCGGGCGTCCGCAGCCATTCTAAGCTGGGCCGTTTGGGCGGCGGCCCGATCTCAACTCTGCGGTTAGGTCGGGCATGTCCTCCCACGGGCGGGCCTTCATTTTTGGAGGAACAAGAAACGAAACATACTTGAACTCCGCCGACCCTGGAGGCGTGCGAGGCTGCAAACCTGAACTCGATAGATCGGCGACACGCCGCCGACAGCGACTCCGCGCGCTCCTGGGCAGAGCGGGCTTTCGGGCTCCTGTCGACGGACCCCTGGGACTGGGGGTCGGGACTGGGGGTGAGGGTGGTCAATGTGGTATCCCAGGACAGCCAGGTCGACCACAACCACAACCAGAGTGCCCATGTCGAGATCGGCGGGTTCTCCCCCGAGAGGGGGGACCAAAAGGTAGCGATACCGCTACTCCCCGGACCTCCTGAGTGAGAAAGCGAAAACCCACCCCCACCCCCCGTCCCGACACCAGCCCGAACCCGCGATCCAGGGGGCTGGGACTGGGGGTGGGGGTGATTTGGAGAAAACGCTCCCGCCCCCAGCCCCGACCCCTAGAATCGCCGGCTCGGGGACTGGGGGGGGGGGAGGGCTGGGTTTTCGCCGTCTGATCAAGGCGAACCCAGCCGCGGGCGCCTCCGCCCGCGGCCCCCCTCTGTCGGGGGCGCGCAAACAATGGATTAGCGATCCACGGATTTGGCGCGCAGTCGCCAGAGCCATGGATCGGGGGAGGCGCCCTCCCCAAAATGCGGCTGGTGCCGCCTCGCTCGGCGGCGGGAATCCGCGATTTGCTATGGAAGCGGGGCCCGTCGCTGCTCCGCGCCCACCCCATTGATCCATGTTGGCGATCGCCTGAATCGGATCGAGGCGAACCCAGCCGTGGGCGCCTCCGCCTGCCGGCCCCCCCTCCGAGCCCTCCCTCGCGGGACTCCAAGGCTCAGGGGCCGTCCGCTTGGGTCGGGCATGTCCCCCGTGCAGGCGGATCGTGGACCAAAAGTGAAGCTCATGGTCCGAACATGCACCTCGACAGTGCCCCAGAATACTCCACAAGAAAAGCGCCCCCAGACGACTACTCTTCTGGAGCACTCCTGACCCTCCCCCCCCTGCAGAGGGACACGCCCCGCCTCGACTCCGAGCCCTGCCTCGCGGGGCTCCGTGGCTCGGGGACCGTCCTCGCCCCTCGGGGTCTCTGCGGCCGGCCCACCCGAGGGGCCCAGCCATAGCTCTCCTGGCGGGGCCCCCGGGGGAGCGGCGCTGCGCTCGCCTCCTGGCTCGTCGCCAGCTGGTCCGGGCACCGGCCCTGCGGACGTGCTGCAGCGGATTTCCGCGTGGACTTCTGCGTGGATGTTTGCCCGAGACGGCGAGCGAAAAACGATGTGAATTTCGCGTGGATTTTCATTTGGTCTTCATTCCTGGCCCAACAAAAAAATCCACGCGAAATTCACCTCGAAATCCGGAACGAATTCTCCAGGACACTCTGGGCCCATCCGATCGCTTTCTGGACGAATTCCGCTCTGCGATGTTGGCGCCATGAAACAGGGCGAGGAGTGGAACAGGTCTGAAGGGGGGGGTGAACATGCACGTTTCTGACAGCTCAGGCTGAGGGGTCTGAGCTTGCTCGCTGCTTCCCCCTCCGCAGCGGCGGGCATAATTCCCCTTCATGGGGATGCGTGGAGGCCTGGAGCATGGAGCTCAAACGAAAAGCGGCGAGGGCCTCCCAGGAGGCCCAAAGAGGGCGAAAACGAGGGTAGGGCATCGGCATGGGCACCTCTCCCTCCTCTGACCGAAGGGGCCCCCTCGAAAAATCCATTCGTCTGTGGCTGTGGTTCTTTGTTTAGAAGAAACAAGCATGGCATAAACATAAACTGTTGACGCTCCGCGCGGACTTCTTCGATCTGCGCTGGAGGCGCGCGGAGCGCGCCAGGGTCGGATCCGAGAAATCCGCGCGGAACGAGCGCCAAAAGTTTATGTTTATGGCGTATTTTCTCCTTCGAGGGAGGCAGCCTTGATCCAGGGGCGCCGTCAGGATCCCTGATACTGCGCCAGAAGCCCTGGCCCGCCCGCGGCTGGCCTGGGCCCCCAGGGACCCCCGGGCCACCTCGGGCCAGCCGAGGCCCGAACTTGCGTTTCGTTTTCTTCTTCTTCTTCTTCTTCGATCGTTGTGCCCGGAGCCGCCTCCCGCCGCCCACTGGCCTCGTGAGGCAGGCTGCCGCTCCCCGCGTGCACTGCTCCCCCGATCGTCGAGGCCAGGAGGCCAGTGGGGCCCCTCCTCCTCCTCCTCCTCCTCCTGCTTCTCCCCCTGCTCCTCCTCCTCCTCCTTCTCCGCCTCCTCCTCCTCCTCCTCCTCCTCCTTCTCCGTCTCCTTCTTCTTCTCCTCCTCCTCCTTCTCCTTCTCCTTCTTCTTCTCCTCCCCCTCCTCCTCCTCCTCCTCCTCCTCCTCCTCCTCGTCGTCGTCCTCCTCCTTCAGCGACGACGAGCACAGCGACGGCGACAACGACGACGACGAGAACGACGGCGATGAAGGCGGTGGCGACGGCAACGGCGGCGACGAGGACGTCAGAAGGGAAAGAGAGAGAGAGCCGCAGAGCGGAGGGGGAGCGGCAGCAAACCGGGTGCGCCGCACCCGGCAAGTTTAGCGAGCGCGCACATGCCGGAGGCGCCGTGCCGAGGACGGCGCGCGCTCTCTCTCTCTCTCTCTCTGACAGAGCGATCGTTGCCGCTGCACATAGCTTGCGGTCGGTACCCGTGCGGCTGATCGTGCAGCCTGCACGCAAGTGGGTGGTGCTCAAAGCGAGTCAATTTCGCTGTCATCCCACAGAGAGATAATACGCACTGACACACACATATATACACATATATGTATGTGTGCAAGCGCTCGGAATTGAGCCTTGGCAGGCGATCTCCGTAAAGCTTCCTCATCTCAGGCGGGTAGTCCCCGTTACCACCTTAGAATACGAGAAGACATGGTCAACTGTCGTGTTCTCACGAACAACGGCAAAGATGCACAAGAACGCGAAGCGAAAGATGTGTGCTCTAATCCTTAACTACAGGGCACGTAAACACAATCATGCTGATGTAGCGAAACATCCAATGCTTGCAATCAAAGGGTCCATGGATCTCATTTGTTCGCAATGAAATAGAAACTGGCGATGTGTATATTATACTCTCTTATCCGCGACTGCAGCTTGCGCGTTTGTGCAACAATCTATGTCCTCATCCCTGCATGTGCGGCGAACTCCTACGTCGATACATCAGTACCACGTTGCAGGCATGTGCAGTATGATTGACACTGCATTTGCAAAGCGTCTACCATCAGCTTTGCCACCTCCACCCTCGCAAAACCTCTTGACTCGCTTGGGGCCACCGAAGATAGGCTCGGAGAACCACCCAAGCTGAAATAGTACAGTCCGGTCCTTGATGGAAATGGGGAAGGGGGGGAGCGAAGCAAAGCTACTTTAGGAGGGGAGGACACAAGGAGGAGGAGGGGGGCAGGGGAAGGGACAAGGATAGGGAGAAGGAAAAGGGGATGTGGAGAAGGAGGGTGAGGCTGAGGAGGATGAGGCTGAGGAGGACAAGGCGGAGGAGGAATGGAATGGACGAGGAGGGGGAAATGGAGGCGAACGAGAGTGAGGGAGGAGGTGGGGGAGCGGAGGAGGAGGCAGAGGAGGAGAAGGAGGAGGAGGAGGAGGCAGAGGAGAGGCGGAGAAAGGCGGGAAGGGGAGGGGGAAAGCGGAGGGGGAGCAGACACGACACCACAAAGCATCGATGCCAGCAAAGACGGCACGCGACACTTGCCGGCGACGGAGCCTTCAGGAGCTGCACTGGCAGAACGTACGCCGGCACCCTTGTGGGGAACACCAAGCTGCGCGGGCGAGGCGTCAGTAAAATGTCTGCGGTGTGAAACACACGGCTTGGCTGCCAACAGCGGCCGCCAAGCGGCTCTCAACAAGCAGCGCATTACCTTCCCAAAGCTACCGTTAGGCAGCGCTGCAGCGTTGCTGAGCAGCTTCCTCAAGCACGGTGAGAAATACGCACGGTAGTGACAGTGGGTAGCCTGTCAGGACCTGGACTTGATGGGGCAAAGTGCCGTGGATAACCCCCTCGTTCTTCCTCCTCCTCCTCCTCCTCCTCCTCCACCTCCTCCCCCTATTCCTCCTCCTCCTCCTCCTCCTCCATGAATCCTTGTAGGGGCCTATGAGGAGGGAGCTTGGAGGGAGGGTGCATTCCAACATCGTTGATGACTCTTGGGTTTACACTGGTCCTCCTTCTCCTCCTCCTCTTCCTCCTCCTCTTCACTCCTCCTCCTCCTGACTTCCTCCTCGCTGCTCACTCCTCCTCCTCCTCCTCCTCCTCCACCTCCTCCACCTCCTCCTCCTCCTCCTCGCTCCTCACTCCTCACTCCTCAATCCTCCTCCCCTCCTCCTCCTCCTCCTCCTCCTCCTCCTCCTCCTCGCCTCCGCTTCCTCCTCCTCACTCCTCCTCCCTCCTCCTCCTCCTCCTCCTCCTCCTCCTCCTCCTCCTCCTCCTCCTCCTCCTCCCCTCCTCCCTCCTCCCTCCTCCCTCCTCCCTCCTCCCTCCTCCCTCCTCCCTCCCTCCCTCCTCCCTCCTCCCTCCTCCTCCTCCTCCTCCTCCTCCTCCTCCTCCTCCTCCTCCCTCCTCCTCCTCCTCCTCCTCCTCCTCTCCTCCTCCTCCTCCTCCTGTTTCTCCAGTTTCTCCATCAGCCGAGGATCCGCGGTGCCGGGGCGGCGCAGAACCTAGGCCAGGCAAGGGGGGGGGAAGAGAACAGGGACGGACCCTGACCGAGGCGGTGCCCCCCCCTGCCTGGGCCGCCGCTGAAGGGACCCGAAGTCATCCTTCAGTGGTGGCCCTGGCAGGGGAGCCATCGCCTCGGTGAGGCTCCTGCGGGGGCCCCTCATGACACGAAGCCTCGAACGAGGATGGGGGTGTCGCCTTCGCCAGGCGGCCAACCCCTCTCTCGATCCAAAGTGGGACGCTGCGACCGAAACTCGCACGAGTGGTGGGGTCCACGCCCCGCCGCAGCATCTCCAGAGACTTACCTGTAGCGTCATCTCGGGGCCTCCCAAAACACACTTCAGCCAGCAAGTTCATTCGGTGCCTGGCATAGTTGCCGCACCTGGAACACCAAATGATCGGGAGGGCAGCACCAGGATCACCTCCCCACAACCGATGCGAGCGGTAAGCATGGCCAGGTGAGTCCAGCTCCGCCCTCGGTCGAGACACATCGCACACAGCCACCCCTTCCCCCACCGCCCCAAAACGTGCCCATTGGGGTCGGGGCAGAGGATGAGCTGGGTCCCTGGGGGGCGGGGCTTCTTGGCCACAACCTTAGAAACATCACGAAACTTGGGCCTGCCAGCAACCTCGAGCATGGCTCCTGTGAAGCGGCCAAGAACCTGCAGGCGCTGCCTTTGCTCAACGAACTGGTCGCGGAGGGCCACTGGAATGGGAATGTCACTGGCTGCTCTCCCGGCAACAAGATCCGCAACTCGGTTCCCTTTCCAAGCCCAAAACGGCACACCCATGGAAAGAGCCTTGGGCCAGGTCTTATGGGCGGGAACATGGAAAACTCGAAACGAATCGCCACGGCCCCTCCGCCTGAAATTAATTTCTTCCCAAAGCTCCGCAAAGGGCAGGTTAGAGACATCAGCTTCCGCCCCTCGGTCCCAGGTCAAGACAGCGGACAGGGAATCGCAACCAAGCTCAACATCGCCTGGGCCCGAGAGGCGGAGAGCCATGAGGATGGCGAACGCCTCAGCGCCATAAATTGAATGCAGCGCGTGCGGGAGAGGACCACTGGCCGAGCCTAGAACATGTCCCCCTCCGTCCAGCATCACAACCGCCCAGGCAGCGACCGTGAAGAGAGGGAGGTCAGGCAAAAGAGCAGACCCATCGGAGCACACGCGGCCTAGCACTTCGCCTCCTGGTGGCCAGACGTCCCACCTCCAGGCACCTGTGATCTGGAGGCGAGGGGTGAACCTGATGGGGGCAGGGAGGAGGCAGCGGGAGAGGCAAGGATCCTCATCCTCCACACTCCTCCAACCCCGCAGCTCCTCCTGAAAACCGAGCTTGCTGCGGCCCTCGTGCAACCCATCGCAGACGAAGAGGCGGTGCTGTGAGGTCCCGCGAGCTCCAAGACACAGCTGGCACCTCTGGTCGATAACCCGACGGTCTTGATACAGAACAGACTGGGTGACAAGGCCTCCTGCAACGTGCGTAGCAAGGAGGCTGGCCTGGAGACAGCCCCCTCTGCGACGCAGAGAAGCGCACGCCTCACTAACTGCATCGAGCTGGGGATGAGAGAACTCCTGGCCCTGATGGCTCCACCGCAACTGCCCAGGCAACTGATCTTTGGTGCCACGGTCGACGAAAGCCTGCAAAGAAACCTTTTCGGACCTTCCCGAGGTCTAAAGACAGGCCCGAGGGAGGAGACCAGACGCAGAAGCTCTGGGGGACCCACCCGAGCTCCGAAGCGTCATGATCACAGCTCCCGTAGGTCCCTTCACCGCAGACCACGTGAATTCATTTGCGCGGAAGCGCTCCAACAGTACATCGAACGTTGAGCGCATCGCCTCCCTAGACGCCCATCCCTGCCAAAAAAAGCTTTCCTCCATGCGAGGAGCGGCAGGGAGTTGCCCACAAAGGCTGGGTCGGCTTCGGGCGCAGGCGAAAGCCCGAACTGAATAGTTCGAGAGCGGCCTCTAGCAAGTCCAAAGAGCCCCTGGGCGACCGCACACCTAAGCCTCGAGATGAGCCTGTTAGAGATCCCAACCGCACTGACCCCATGCGAGCCTGCTGGGAGGGCGCTCACGTTGGAGATCATTGTGAGCCTGCGAAACTGACTCTTCAGGGACCTAAAGCGGCCCGCGCGGGCCCTCACCTTACATACGCGGCCAGCCTGGACCTGAACCCGACGACGGTCCCCTTGCGTGTAGTCAGTACCCAGGTTCTTCGCATGATGCGAGGACCGAAAATGCCACTTTTTAAAACCTGCAACAATCTTGTCGGCGATGTCCGACGTGGTGGCCGTCACGCGGCCCTTGGTCGTGGAGATGATGAGCCTACGGGCCTCGAGCATGCGGCACAGCGTGAGGGTGACCGCCAAACCTTCCTTGACCACCAGAGCTGCCGTGCCGATCGTCTGAGCCGCAAGGTCGTCCACCACGTTAAACAGACGGGTGTGAGGGAACCACCTGGCACACACATCGAAAACATCCAGCATCATCACCTGGAGAAGAGTGGTGGCGAAGCCGCAACCAGCGATGATGGTGGACAGGATCCTTACAGGGCGCGACACTCGCTTACCTAGCAGGAGACTCCGCGGTGCACGATACACTTTCAGACACAACCGAAGGTGAAAACGCGGAAACCCGTGCTTCTTGGCCGCGCTAATCAGGTCCCTGTGTTGAACCTTCTCGTAGGCCTTAACCAAATCCAAAAAGAGTTTGTCGCGAACCTTCCCGTCCGCGCGGCATTCTCGCTGGCGAACGGCTGCTCCCAGACGGCCCTTTCGCAAGACTTGCCCCTGGTCCCGTAGGTGTAGCCCCGAAAATGTTCAGCTTCCCAAAGACGGACCACCCCCCTGGAACAACGGGCCCAGACACGCACCACCATGCTGAGCAGCCCTATAAGCCGCGTGTCCCCTTCGGGCTTCGGGAGGGAGGGCATGGGGGTGAGGCCGATCTGCGCGGGCAACGCTCCCAGGGCCAACATCCAGTTCCACAGCAAGTTGAGAGCCTCGAGGCACTTGTCCGAGGCCACGCAGAAGTCCCTGGGGCCCAAGCGATCGACCCCGCGCGGCGTCCAGCCCTTGATCTTCCGCGCAACCTTACGAATGAACTCGGGCTCGTGCTGCAGCACAGGACACCTCTGGGTCTCCAGGAACGACGACAGCTCACGCATACATGCCTCTGGGTCCTCGTCGGCCTCGGGGCATGACCAGACCTCCTCCCAATCCTTGAGAACGTGCTCCAGATCCCCCTCTGGGCCTGGGGGGGGGGGGGGGTCGCCGCGCTTGGCCTGGATAGGCCTCCAGCCCGCAGGAAGGCGGGTGAACCTGTGGGCCTTGCCGCCACCGTTGGCGACTGCCTCCTTCACGTACAGGCGCCACTCAGCGGACCGACGGCAAGCGAACTCCTTCTCGCAACGGGTGGCCTCCTTCTTTGCGAGGTTGGCAAAGTCAACGAGGCCGACGGATGACATGCCGCTCCAATCTGCGGCGGAGAGAGAAAAAGCGGCCCAGGCTGGAGAGTCTCTGATCGCTTTTGGCCCCGCGCTGATCTTAGCGAGAATGGAGGCGAGCACGAGAGGCCTCCTGCACACATCCTGGGACTGGATGTGGCCGAGCTCGCGGAGCCAATTGGCTACTCGTCTCCAGCCCAACGCCTCCTGGCTA